CTCCACAATGTGAAATGTTTGATGTATTCATGCAGTTACTTCAAGAAAAATGGGAAATAATCACACACAAAAAATAAATATCAAGTCCTCAGAGGATTTCTCTTTAATATTCACAAAGATACAGAGCTCCTGTTGTCATATACTGTATAAAAACAACAGTTGTTTCTGGTAGTTTTGGCATTCTTTCCATCATCTGTATCTAAAGTCTTTTCATGAAAAGGCCAAGACTTATAATTTTACTCAAACCACAGGATAATGCTAATATTTCTGCTGGAAGTGAAAATGGCAGAAAACAAAACCAAAGATTCAGAAGATGAATAAATACTATTTTAAACATCTTGCTATAAAAGATATTAATGTAAGCCTATAATTTTTGCTTTGCAATGTTTAAAAATACATGCCATGCAAAGACGTGGATACATTTCAGTGTTACATTTTTAAGTTTAAGATTTTACTGAAGCACAAGGTAATTACATCTGCAATCTATAACAAACCTAATTACAAATGTGATCTGTAAAAAAGCTAATTACTACGGTTATCAGTCATTTTACTACTCTGTGCTGCTATTGTCAGATCCTCCTGCTTTACTGTGAAATTTTCTTACTGTTACTACTCAGTCTAAGAATAGGCATTAAAATAAAAACAGTTTGTTTTTTTCTCATGTGTTTCAAGATAATAAAAATAATATTCAGCAGTAGCAATGAACCAGTGAATACAGTGATTTCAGCTGTATTAATAATCTCCAGGAAAAAAAAAGAGATTCATTTTTCACTTGAAACATAAGAGGGGTCTTCATTAGAGGATCTTGAAATAATGAAAATTAGCATCAGCATTTTGCTTCAAAGATGTTTATCATGTGTGTCAACCCCCCTAAACAACACATTAACCCGCATGCCTTGAAGTGTGAAAATGATAGTTCTGTTTGATAGATGATGTGATATCCACTGGGATCCCAATTCAGCATCATCTGAATAATTAAACAAGTGCCAGTGATGTAACAATTACAGAAAGGTGTGAAGAATGTAAATGGTACTAATAAAGGAAGGTATTCCACATTAAATGTTTCTAAAATTAGTATCAAAACAATTACTGGATACAAGTACCAGTTTGTTGTCTCTGTTATCAAAAGGTATTAAAACGTCCACTCAAATATTTATACAGTGATAATTAGAAAAAAAAATCAACATATGCAATAAATATTTTTGTTTTCCTAAATTACCACAACCCAAAATTATACCATGTATTAAACATACAAAAGCACCTTAGAAAGATAACTATTTCTGCATAAACTGTCTCTGTCATCCAAAGTAGTCTTGATGATTCCTCAGAGACAGTGAGGATAAATACATTTTGCTTTACATGTTCCACAGGCTAGAAGAAATAAATGATTGAGGTGGGGTGGTGTAAAATTTTTCAATTCCTCAAAATGCATTGTTATTTTCATGAGAAAAGAATTTATATTTTTCCGTTAAATTAATGACTCCAAATATATGTGACCTTAAAAATAGTTTTGCTTTATAATTTCACAGTATCTTTCCTGCAAATTTGGAAGCTATTTGTTTTGTTGTCCAGCATTAATGCGCAAGCTATTATAAATCAATGTCATCTAGTTGGACTCATTGTCTCCTTATGCATATTAAGGAAGCAGCATGAAGTTGACTCTGGTTTGGGGGGTCATATGGGTTCATATCCAGGTGAGATGCTGCTAATGTACCCTTGAGCAAGGTACTTTACTCATATTGCTCTAGTAAATTCTCAGCTGTATAAGGTAATCCTTATAAATGTGAATTTGTTGTTGGTGGACTTAATTTTGAGACAATTGAGTCAAAATAATACAGAGAAACACGCATTATGAATGAGATCTACTCTTTACAGGAATTTAAAGTTGCCTTAGAGTTCTAACAAATGCAGAAACTGCCATTGAGCAAATTTACTACAACGGTATGACAAAAAAGTCACTACACAATGAATTTTCAGACACGAAGTATTCAAATTGGTATTTTACAGTATGAAAAATAGTAAATATATACAGTATGTTTCAATAACTCCTCTTATTTATTTCCTATTAAGAGAATCAGGTATACTGCATACACGTGCCCCTTTTCAAGAAACAGTGACGAAACAAGAAACACATTTCAAGGACAAAGACTAAACCGTTGACTAGATTTTCTTCTTTCTGAAAATGGTCATACTTTTTATTTAACTGCTACACTGAAAAGGGCATATTTGGCTTAATCCATGAAAGTTATGAACTCCAATAACTTAAACAATACCAACAAGCTTCAAACTTATAACTCATCTAATCTATTCAGCTCCATGACAGCAAGAAAATAATTCTGCAAAAATGAGAAATATCTCTCTTGTAGTGTTTCTCTCAAATAGGAATAATGAGAAAATGCTGTTTAAATAATAGAAATATGTTTCATTAATCTGTTCATGTTCCTTTTGAGGGGAAAAAGGACATTTTGGAGATGTTGAATGTAATTCAGCTAATGATTAGCGTTTATAAATTAAATCTAGATGATCTTCTCAGGAAAAAACATGTATGCAAAAGTAAAATGACATATTACTTTAATTTAACACATTTCATACAAAGTCTACCTAAATTTATATTAAATTATATTTAATATTGTGTCACTTTCATTTTGTCTTTCTGTCACCCTAAATGACAAAAGAATAGGAGTGTAATTTTCCAGAGGCCAAAAATGGAGGCCTATTTAATGTGCTGGAAATTAACCGATTAATAATTTAGCTATAGGTCATGAATCAACTTCATGTTTGGTGTTCCAGAGCATTTGCAACCCTAGTAACATTAGCAGTAACAATGTGTTTTAAGCTCTAAATAGGTAAGGCTAGATCTGCTTAATTAGGCAACAGTCTAAGGTTATGAGTCTTACATTTCTTAAAATCTTGAGTCATTCCCCACTGTAACTAGAACATTTCTACTTTGTGAATCCATGTCCTCTCTGCTGACAAGTGACAGGCAAGTTGCCCTGCCACATAATTGGAAGGAAAAGCATGGCTTGGGAAATATTTAATACCCTTACCTCTTTTTTTGTACACACACTGTATATATATATATAAGCACACACATTACAGTTGAAGGATATTTGAGAAAGTTGGCTAGGTGCCATTTATTTTTCTCCCCATTGCCACCACGAGAGGTAATTATCTTACTCCATCAATAGTGCTGTCAGAAAATGGACCCATAATTCAGCATTTAAATGAACAAGCAATGTAATATTTCCCAGCTCCCGGTGGAATGTTTTGAAGTGTCCATTTCTCTCTGTCATGGTCTCAGTGTTGATGTATTTCCTGTGCTGTAGTGCTTGAAAACCTTCTATCCCTTGTGTTTCATTACAGATGTTGGCTCAGACTTGACACCTACTTCATCTGGAGCTTCATAGGTCCGGCAACCTTGATAATTATGGTAAGCAACCCCTAATTAACCCCTTCTACCTCCCAGAGCACAGCCTGAATGATCAATTGAATAGCCAATCTGTTTCTTGAATTGCTCACTTTCATATTGTAAATCTGCCTTCTTGACCCATTTATCACCAGACACTATGAGCTCCTTGTTAAATGTAGGCTTTTTGCAGTTTTAATGCACAGTTGTAAGAACATCTTCAGTCACATTACACATGAATGCTTCTTAGTATTCATTTTAGAAGTAATCTCCTTGACAGAAGTGATTGATTCAAGTCTTTTTTCACAGATTTAAACAGAGGGCTTCTGTGCGTTACTGTGTGAATATTCTTTTTTACATTTAAAACTAAATATAAAGAAAACACTTTGAGTATTAGATATACAAACTAATTCTTTTCTAAAAGTACGTGTATAGAATTTATTCATTTTTTTCAAACTTAAATCAGGAATATTATGATTGCCATCTTAAAAAACATTTAACAGTTTGCCTTTTTTGGAGGTTGAAGTTTAGTACCATACTTCTAGTAATAGGCATTAATGTAGGGCCTTAAAATACCATTATAAACCTGAGCCTTTTACTCATACTAATTGGGAAATTAAAATAATGGTCTTTTAAGATGCTATTTCAAAAATGGTAAAAAAAAAACATTATCTCAAAAAAGAAATTATTGTGGTTATTCCGTGTTTGTGAAAAGGCACATCTATATCAGTAACATGCAAAACATTTGGTAATGGTTAGGACCAGGGTTATTTAGCATTCCTCATTATGTAAAAAATTGACAATCTAAAAGTGTCACTTTATGAAGAAATTAATACTGTATGTGACAATGGATAGAAAACTAAGTATATGGTTAAGTACAATAAAATCAGTTGGCAAGCTCTGTTTCAATGCTATTGAATCACATTCAGTCTGCTTTAAAAACTAAGGCTTCTTTGAATACCTTAGCTATACTATTCTAAAGGTCTTTGTAACACCTATTTTGCTGTACTAGTATCCACTTGTTTAAAGTAATATTCAAGGTGACTTCTGTCTCTCTGCATTAGGAATGAACACAAATATGATTTTCAATATTTGAAGAAAGAATCAGAAATACAGAGTGATACAACATCTTTGAACTGTTATTACAGAGTCAAGCAACACAGTTGCTGGATTCCTGTTGCTATTGTTCAAATTATCAGGGGGCAAAACTATGAAGCTTGTTTAGATTATTAAGAAATCTAAACTCCAGTTGGAACTCCAGTTTTACAGTTTGGCAGCCACATTAGATTTTTGTGTGAGGAATGTGAGGAATTTTAAAATGTTGTTTTCTGTAAAGAACCTTCATAGGGGACTAAAATTTGATGGGCATTGTTATGTCATGTCTATGGTAAAAGCTCTTGTCCGTGTTGATGTAATTGGTCACATGGTTAAGTTGCCATGTCAGTTTTGTCAAAAACACAAAAAGAAACAAGAACACATTGGCTTCTGTAATGAAACTGTGGGGCTGAACAAAGCAAGATCAACAAATTAGGTAATATTGTCTGTCAAAAGTATATTCATGTCAAGCTGCCATCTTAAATAAAATGGCTGTCATGAGCCAATCCAAAGAATGGTGTATTTCATTTATACTGTATATAATGAATTACATTTAATTTTGTTGGTAAAGTGTGCTTGTATATAAGATTCATGAGATGCAACAACTTCATAGTCCCAAAGCTCACATGGATCTGCAGTTAACTGGCCAGTCACATTGTTTAATCATCTATAGATGCAGCCACTTAGATGCATGAGGTGTCAGTTGGTAGGCAATACAGTATCTTGGGGATCACTTTGTTTTTGACATTTTTAATTGTTTGAATAGTCTGATGCAGGACTGCACTACTCTGTAAACCTGCCAGGTGGTGCAATGAATTCTTACAGTACCTAAGCTGCATGTGGTTGTCATAAAAATCTGTAGACAACCTTCTCTAGACAGAATAAATAGAGCACTGGACAGCAAGAATGACAGGTGTTTACAACACAAACTTTCACTTCAGATTCAAGTCAGTTGTGAACTATAATTCCTGTCACCTGTATCAAATGAAAACATAACTTATAATTTCATAAAGAGGGCAGATAGGGTCATATTTATCATGAAACAGAAATAGGAATGTTAATGTGCATTAATCAAAAATTACCTTCTGTGCGACCTCTGCACTTTCTTAAGGTCACATGCAAATTAATTTTACAACCTCATACAAACTGTACCTATAGTATGTTCATGGATGAAGTGGAATAAGTATTGGAAACCGTACACTATGTGATCTATTATCACCTTTGACCTCTCTTTAAGGTCAAATATAAAAATGTTAAAAATAGATGGCCATTAAATAATCACTACTTACAGTTATATTTATTTTCAAGATTAATTTATACTGACATTTTGAAAAAAAACAGAGTGAAACATTTATTTTGTGTATAGAGCAAAATGTGCTGTTATACTACTAAGGTCTGGCAGAATTCATGTTATATACAGTAGACCACTGAAAATACAAAAATGCAAATCAAATAAATCATCATCTGTCAAATTCAAAATATTTGTTTATTTTCTTTTTAAAATATGCAATAAGTTAAATATGCAACTAAGCAATGATTGCATTTACACAAAGGCTTAAAAATAATTACTAAATCTTTTTTTTTGGTAAAGATATACAATTAATATAGTGAAAGTACTATATTACAGATTAGTTATATTACAGTTCAGATTTGTTGATTATAATGTTAAGGAAATACAGCAGGTAGATATAGCCTTCAGAAAAACTGAATACCATGTAGAAGTATATTTCTACTGTAATAATTATACAATTTTATTTCTAAGCTCTTTACAAGAAATGTAGAGTGCTTAAAGCGAAGTTTGAAAAAATCTGCATGAACAAGGAATGTGGACCATGCACCCCTGGGTTAAATTAATGAGTTAATGGGGCTCTAATTGTTATGATTAATATTATTACATTTCAGATAATCTATGGAGAGCCCTTATGTTTAGATTGTCAGTCAGGTTGCTCCATGAGTGGACTGGGGTTCCCACATATTGAGTTTTCAAAAAGTGATGGAATACAACTGTCTGTTTAAAAGATGCTGATGCTCTTTGATCACTGGACTGTTTTCATTTCATAGCTGTAAAACTAAATAATCCAAGTCCCTTCATTGTAAGGTAGACACAGAATGATATCTAATTTCCCAGCCGACCCTTATCATGTCAATGCTTTTATCAGAAAGTGATGAATGAAAATAAGCTTCAAAAATGGGCTTTATAAAATTCTCATTTGTGTGTTCCAGCTCAATGTAATCTTCCTTGGAATTGCACTCTACAAAATGTTCCATCACACAGCAATCCTCAAACCAGATTCAGGCTGCCTGGACAACATAAAGTAAGTCTTTAATTTTTTTTTTCCACTTTCTTTCATTGTTATATTTTGCTATTTTCACTTGGTTTTATTTATTTGTTTGAACTTTGTGATGGTATGTGTGGTTTTCTGGGTTTCTCACTTATCTGTGTGCATTCATGAAACTGGGTGTTATTTAAACATTTCATTCCCATGTGTTTTAGACAGAGTGGTCCTTAGGCCTAATAAGCTCTTCGGTTTAAGTTTGTGTTTTTGCAAATTGTTGGTGCATTTTATAGATTGTCTGCTCTGAGTGGCTTAGAACGCATATCCAAGAAATAGCCTTTCAAATTTTTCTCTAAAATATTTTTTTTCTAAAATTGATAAAGTTAACAAGCCAGTAGAATTAATGAAGTGGGAAAATAATTGCCAGAATAAAAAGACAGACAGCATATACAGTAGCTTTATTTTTAGTTTACGAGCAGCTGTAATTAGAAAAGAGTAATGTTGTTTCAGAAAGGGGATGCAGAATATATCAGAATTTACAAAAAAACAGAATTAAATACAAAATAATGTGTCTCTGTTGTTATTTCGTGTTTTGGCAATATCTTCACTTGATAATGGTTTGCAAATTCCCCTAAAGTCTTAAGGAAGGGAGTTAGAAAACAGGTAGTGCTAAAGAACAATATTCTGGTGATAAGGTGCTATCTCCTGAAGACATGCAATTTAACTTTTTTCACAGTGGTGTGGAATTGCACCATAATTTTGAAGTAAAATGAATGATGTGATTAAATATTTTCCCAGACCAAATCATTACTCACAAGGGAGGTTCAAAATGTCCTAAGAAAGATTCCACCCCATCCACATAAACTATATGGGAATAATACATTTCTTGTTAGAATTTAAGCGAATAATTAGATCTATTAAGTTTTTATTAAATAAGATCACCTGCCATCCAGCCCAGTGCATGGATGGGAAAAAACTTCCAAGATATCCAACCAAGATTAAACCCAATTTCATGTTTTTGCCCTCAGAGAAAAAATATAAGATCAAAAATGATTCATGATTCAATTAAAACATTTACATCTTACTCTGGAGTGTTTCAAATAACTAAATTTAGCTCATCTGGTGAAGTAATTTCCCAGTCTTCCATCTGCTCCATATGCCAGTGCTTTATTCTGTCCATTTTTCTTTCAATTATATAGATAGATAGATAAGACTTTATTGATCCCAAAGGGAAATTGATGTGCTACATCAAGTTTATATATATCAAGTTTTCTAATCCTTTCTGGGGACGAGAAATCCCATAGTATGATGCAGACACCCCTATATTTAACTGCAGCCATAGTGTTCTCTGGGTGATGTGGGGGTTTTGTGCCAGGCATAAAGCTTTGGAATTATTACAAAAATTTCCAGTTTTGTCTCCTCTGACCACAAAACCTTGAGTGACCACATAAAGTGATATTGTTCACTCATGGCCGTTCACTCCCATCTCAGCCTTGAACTCTGTAGCTCTTTAGCTCTTTCAAAAGAGTATTTGCACTCGCAGTGGCATCCCTTTCCAGTTTCCTCCTGGCCTGGCTGCTCAGTATGGAGGGGTGGCCTGATCTGGGCAGTTTTTAGGTGGTATGATGCAACTTTAATTTCTTGATTAACGAGTAGACTGTGCTCACAGGGATATAAAGAGTTTTTTTCAGAGATATTTTGTACCCCTTTCCTGATTTGTGCTTTTAAATTACAGTACTTTATCTCTGAATTTTTTTCAAAGCCCCTTAGTCTTTATTTTTTAGGTAGAATAGAAATTAGCAAGGACAAGGTAAAAAAAAGAAAGAAATGTATTTTTTCTGCTTGGTTTATGTTTTAGCTCTTCTAGCCTATCCATCACTTAACAGGACCCTTCTTTGTCATGGAGCACATCTGTAAAGTTTTATTGAAGAAAGAGTAATTTAAATGTGAACTTTGAAATGGTATGAAATACAGTAGATAAGGACTATTGAAGCTTTACTTATCCTTGCCTCAGATCTACAGTATATTACAAGCCTCTTTCTCATTATCTCTGCATGTATTAAATTAGAAATGCTAGTGAAAACTAAACTAATAAGGGGGAGGCTGTAATAAAATTGTGTAGTACACTGATTATAAGATAAACTGTTTATTTTAATAGGTGGGAGTTATGTACTCAGATACATATTTGTCTAGAACAGGGTCCTCAACCTTGTAAAAAGACCATAAGAAAAATTACAAACAGGACTGGTCATCTAGCTTGTTTTCTAGTGGCTGATTTATCTAAGGATATCATCTGGCCCTTTCTAGAAGGAAGTATCAATTTAAATGAGATGGCTGGGTAACTTGTTCATGGCCTTCACAGCCCCATGGGTAAAAATCTTCCTACTGCTCTTAGTTTCAAATGCAATTAATCTTAGCTTCTATTTCTTGTATCTTGCTCCAAATAAAACCTGTCATTTAGGTATTGGCATGTAATGAACTTTTTGTCTAACATTTTGCTTTTCCTTTGGATTGTTTTTTTTTGTCTTTCTGTGTATCTCCCTTGCAGTTTTTCTTTGGATGCTATTGCCTTCCAATTGTAGTTTAAATGCATTTTGTTATTTCTCTGTAGATCCTTTCACCAAGTGAAATAGTGCCCGTGTCATTCAGATGTAATCCATTTTACCTGTGCAGAGTACAGTACCTTTGCTACAGAAAGGTTTCCAGTGGCTGAGAAAGCTGAAGCACATCATGTCCTCACATGTATTGTATTTACAGATTAGAATTTCCATTTGTTCACCTTTGCATGGTGCAAGCAGGATAAAAGAGAAAAACACTGATTTAGTCCTGTTTTTCACTTTCATTCCAAGGTCTTTGAATTTGTTTATTGTTGGACATGGTGTTTATGCCAGTGTTGTTTGTCCCAACATGAATAACAGCATTTAGATCTTCTCTTGCCTTTGTGAGCAACCATCTCCTGCTTGGATGACATTAGCCACCTTAAAGTCAGGGACACAGGAACCCTGATTATTTATAATATAAAATATTTTTCATGTCAAGACACTTTGGTACAGTACCTGCTGAGTGTAACTTATACCAAAGCTCCCAAACCGATACCTAAACTCACTTAAGTGTATGTAGTAATATGTAGTAATTTATCATGCCCTTTACTTCATACCCTTGTTGTGAGACTTTTAAATTTTCAGAACACATTTTAAGACATTCTCAAAGTTAAAACCAGTTAACTGGAGTTAAAGAGCAAAATACTTCAGCATTTTAAACTTAAAGGTTAATATACCTTTAAAATTAATCTTTTGGACTGAATGTTTTAACCAAATTGATAACTTTATTGGATTATATTTTCTGTTTCTACCAACTGATACAGAAGTGTCAAATAAACATACATGTAAACATTATATCAATTGTCCAATGTCAACATAACTAATATGGATAGCAGAAAATAATGAGATGTTTGGAAATGTAAATGTCATATTCATTGCCTTTCCTCTGATGGGTTGCTCTTAACATCTTTGCTTTTCAGTTGATCTTTTGACCTCGAATTGCTTCTGATAATTGGCCTACTGTACCTTTCCATTTCATTTATATGCACTCATGCCATGCAGCTTCTTCTGATGTACAAAGCCTGTGCTACAGGCTTCTAGCAACATATTTGTTTTTTTTTTTTTTTCACTTTTCCTGAAAATGCTGTGTGCATACATTTATTTGGTTGCAGTATTGTTGGTTTATTTTCTCCTCTCTTATCATTGTTGGTAACAAAATAAAGCATGCCCGCATTACACATACAGAGACAGTAGACTTATCTCTTAGTAGTCTAAATAGCAAGTGAGCAATGTCAGACAATATCCTTCAGGCTTCTTTCTTTTTAAGACTTCATCCTTGTTACATAGCCACATATTCTTTTTGCTTCATGAAGACAAAGTGTAATGTGGACAGTAAAATAAATGCCCATTGGGATATCACCTTTCCTGAGGATAATCTGAAATCCTTACCATGATCACCTCTGGAGTGATTTGAATCTTGCATTTATCCAAAAGAAATTTGTTCTGTGTTGTTTTTGCTTTTGACAGTAACATGTGCCTTCATGATTATAGCACACAAAGACTCTGTACCAGATTGTAAGTTACACTTACATTTTGTGCATTTTGAGTTATTTCATGACAATGTGTCCTTCAGGTTTCTGGAATCAAAGTAAAACATGGTTGTGACAGCAGGTAGGAGAGTTAGGTAGCAATATATTAGTTTCTTTTGTTCCTACCAAAAACATATATATATATATTTCAAGGCAATGTTCATCTCAAAATCTGTTCTTTTGTAACCTGTCCAATGCTTCTGTTTAGATCCTAATATTAGTATAATATTAGTTGTTTCTACTCACTCGATATACAGTACGGTAGAGCTTTAACTCAAGCATTTCGTATTAGTGATTGTAAGTTTTAGATAGAAAGTCAAGATGTTAAAGTACCATAGTCTAACTGCAGCCATATCACCCTGCAACTCACAACTGCCAGCCCACTGAAAATAAGCAGGTGTGAGCCTGGTCAGTACCTGGATGGGAGACCTCCTGGGAAAAACTAAGGTTGCTGCTGGAAGAGGCGTTAGTGGAGCCAGCAGGGGGCGCTAACCCTGTGGTCCACGTGGGTCCTAATGCCCCAGTATAGTGACGGGGACACTATACTGTAAACAGGTGCCGTCCTTCGGATGGGATGTAAAACCGAGGTCCTGACTCCCTGTGGTCATTAAAAATACCAGGGCATTTCTCGAAAAGAGTAGGGGTCCTGGCCAAATTTCCCATTTTCCCTTACCAATCATGGCCTTCTAATAATCCCCATCTATGAATTGTCTACATTACTTTGCTCTCCTCCCCACTGATAGCTGATGTGTGGTGAGCGTTCTGGTGCACTATGGCTGCCGTCGCATCATCCAGGTGGGGCTGCACATTGGTGGTGGTGGAGGGGAGTCCCCATTATCTGTAAAGCGCTTTGAGTGGAGTGTCCAGAAAAGTGCTATATAAGTGTAAGCAATTATTATTATTATAACTG